AAGAGCCTATTAGAAAGTTCACGTTACGCTTAAGGGAGTTGGGCCATCGCCTGCAGACAAAAGAGCCACAAGGGTTTCGGCGGGCTGACCTGCACCTGCGTGATCAGTTTGTCTTGGGTCTTAGGGAGGGTGAGATACAGCGTGATCTGCGGCGTTTATTAAGGCACGATCCTGACCTCTCATTTGAACAGGTGCGTAAAGAGGCTCTGCAATTGGAAGCGGATGCGCTGTATGGCGTACATGAGGACTCCGCTTGTGCTGTAGTAAGAGGGGATTTAAAGTGGCAGGATACTCTGAATTGGAGAGATAAGTTTAAAGTGGAGATCCTTGCAGAAATGAAGGAGCAAATTATGGATCTCAAAAATACTCTTCAGGAGGAGCTGAGGGAATTTGTCCGACCAGCACCAATGCCACGGACGTTTTCAGCTCCTAGAGGTGAGCGAGAAAGGTGGAACCTTAGTTCCCCTCAATATAGGGGAGGTGTTGAAGTGTCCGAGCCACCCCCGGTGACAAAGCAAACCCCACGGTTAGTGGAGCGACCACGGCACAAGTGGGATGAGCATGGGCAGCCTATTTGTAGTAGGTGTGGAGTTAGTGGACACATGGCAAGAGAGTGTCGGGGCACTTCATCTCAGATGGCTTTAAACGAGTAAATCCAGTCGCTATGGGCCAGGTGATTGGAAAGGATGATAGTGGTCCAACTCAGTTAAACCACCCTCAATTTTTAGGGGCATGCCGTCAAGTAGAAGTATTCATTGATGGTAAAGAAGTGACATTTTTTGCTGGATACTGGGTCTAATGTAACATTAATGCCACAAGCCTGTTTTAGGAGATTGTTTGGTGAACAGGAGCCGGGGAAAGAGAGTGATCTTAATTGGCTAAAGCTGAAGGCCGCGAATGGATTGGCTATTCCTTACGTGGGCTATGTGTTAGCTGAAGTACAGGTGGGAGACATTACCCTGAAAGATATGGGAATTGTGATTTCAAAGGACGACCCCAATAATTCTAATGCATTACCTATATTAGGTATGAACATCATCGTTCCATGTTGGGATGTGTTTTTTTTTAAACCTCAGACGCAGACCCAGACCTGGCCTGTTGGCTCGACTGTAGACGCTCAACAAGCCTGGGCATCTGCTTTTCAGGACTGTCAAAGAATTCAGGCAGCTGTCCCCGTACCACAAGTAGGGACCCTGCGACCCGCTTACCGCCACCCGGTGAAGATCCCTGAGCACAGTGAGCAGGTGATTTGGGCTAGGGCCCCACAGACACTGAGGAAAGGACAATGTATCTTGGTGGAGCCATTGGAAGGGCCTAGTACAGTTGCCGTTGCTCGATCGCTAGGAACTGTCTATAGAGGCCGGGTCCCCATCAAAGTAAGGAATCTCAATCCTTTTCCTATTACGTTACGACGTTATGAGGCCCTGGCTACATTCTCCACGGAAAATGTCGACATTCAGGAACCTTTTGAAGTCACGTTTGAGCAAACCAGGCCAGGCATCGTTGAAGTGGGCGTATCCCAGGTGAGCTCGGAACCATCTGGTAAAGCTCCTCACATTGAAGTTATGACACAAGGGCGGTCGAATCTATCTATGGAGGAGCAGGAAAAGTTAAATGGTCTCTTGAGGAAGTGGGGCGATGTGTTTGCTGCCGACGAAGAGGATTATGGCCACACAGATGTAATTACGCACTCTATTCCGACAGGTATGGCACCTCCTATTAGAGAGCGGTATAGGCCAATCCCCCCTAAAATGTATCAGGAAGTGCGAGAATTGCTGAATAATATGATTCGATCAGGGGTGGTGCGAGAGAGTACAAGTCCCTGGGCAGCACCCATTGTCCTGGTAAGGAAAAAGAATGGGGAATTGAGATTTTGTGTGGATTACCGCAAGTTGAATGCAGTGACACATAAAGACGCCCATCCATTACCTAGAATTGAAGAGACCTTGACGATGCTGACTAAATCAAAATACTACTCCACCCTTGATCTAGCAAGTGGTATTGGCAAGTGAAAGTTTCTGAAGCTGACAGGGAAAAAACTGCATTTTGTACTCCTTTTGGCTTGTATGAGTTTGAAAGAATGCCTTTTGGATTGTGTAATGCTCCAGCAACATTTCAAAGGTTGATGCAGAGTTGTTTGGGAAGTCAAATCACAGAGTCCGCTTTTGTCTATCTGGATGATGTGATAGTATATTCACCGGATTTTGACAGCCACCTAGAACATCTGCAGGCAGTGTTTGCAAGATTGAAGAGCTATGGGCTGAAGTTGCGACCTGATAAATGTGTTCTTTTCCAGCAACAGGTGAAGTTCCTGGGTCACCTGGTGAACAGTGAGGGTGTGGCTCCGGACCCTGATAAGATTGCCGCTGTACAGAAGTGGCCGGCCCCGCAGACTATTCATCAGGTGCGTTCCTTCTTGGGCTTTGCCGGTTATTATCGGCGGTTCATTGCAGGGTTTGCGGGTGTTGCTAGGCCTCTTAACTCGCTGCTAGTGGGAGTACCGAAGAATAAAAAACAGAATATCCCCATAAATTGGGATGAGGATTGTCAGCAGTCCTTTGATCTTCTGAAGCAGAAATTGCTCGAGGCTCCTATTTTAGCTTTTGCTGATTTCAGATTACCCTTCCGGCTTTATACGGATGCCAGTAAAGTGGGCCTTGGTGCAGTACTGTCTCAAGTACAAGATGGGAAGGAATGTGTGATAGCCTATGCTAGCAGAAGCTTAGCACCCGCCGAAAGGGATGATGCAAACTATAGCTCCTTTAAACTGGAGCTGCTCGCTTTGAAGTGGGCGGTGACTGAGAAATTTAAAGATTATCTATGGGGTCTCTGTTCACAGTTTATACTGATAATAATCCATTGGTCCATTTATCGACTGCAAAAGTGGGTGCAGTGGAACAACGGTGGGTAGCCCAGCTCGCAAATTATCAATTTGATATTAAGTATCGGCCTGGCCAGGAAAATGTGAATGCTGATGTTCTGTCTAGAATGCCATTGCAGGTGCAACCCCAGGATTTGGTGCCTCCACAGAGGGTGGACGAAAAAGCATGGGTTCAGGCTGTGAACATCGATTGGGATCCAGGATGCTGGCAAGGCTTACAAGAGCAGGACCCCACGCTGCATAGCGTGAGATACTACATGGCCCGAGGAAAGATGCCATCTGGGGAGGAAAGACGCCAGGAGCCTACTGCAGTCTTAAACTACATGAAACAATGGTCACGGCTGGAGTTGTTGGAGGGTGTTCTGGTCCGCAGGGGGTGGATTCCAACACCTGTGAGGCGTACTACCAAATCCTTGTTCCTTTGGAGGAACAGCAACCAACATGGAAGGCTTTCCATGAAAGGAATGGTCATTTGGGGGTGGCAAAGACACTTTCGATGCTGCGCCGTAGTTTTTATTGGCTTCAAATGGAGAAGAGAGTGCGGGACTGGACAACATCCTGTGAACGGTGTGTACGTCATAAAGGTCGTGGTGACGGTCAGGCCCCACTTAGTCCTGTTCTTACACACGCACCTCTCCAAACCGTGGCAGTTGATTTCCTGACATTAGGTAGACCGGCAGACTCATACCAGTACATTTTGGTCGCCACTGATTTGTTTACAAAGTATGCTTGGGCAATACCTACCAGGGACCAGACCGCTGCAACTACAGCGAAGATGTTGTTGAAACATATTATTCAGCCAATTGGATGCCCAGAACAACTGCACTCGGATCAAGGTGCTAATTTCGAGTCCGCCCTCATAAAGGAGCTCTGTCAGTATTATAATTGTCGGAAAAGTCGAACTACTGCCTATCATCCTCAGGGAAATGGGGCCTGTGAACGTTTCAATCAGACATTAATAAATATGCTGTCCACCCTAGAGGAAGAGAGGCGGACTCGGTGGGTACAATGTTTGCCCGAACTGCTCCAGGCTTATAATAACTCTGTCCATGCGTCTACAGGTTACACCCCCCATTACCTGATGTTTGGATGGAATGCTCGTCTGCCAGGCGAGCTGTTTATGGGGACGAAGAGACCCATGGAGTCAACCACGACGCAGGAGTGGGTGAGGAGACATCATGAGCACTTGAGGCTGGCATACCAGATGGTGGAAAAGAGCAGCCAGAAGGCTGCAGGCCGGATGAAGGACAGGTATGATGTTGGGGCTAGGGCAGCACCATTGCTCCCGGGGAAAGGGTTCTAGTCCATACGACAAGAAGGGACGGACAGGGTAAACTGGCAGCACACTGGAGGAAGAGATCCAAATTGTAGTTGGCCAGCCAAACCCTATGAACCCAGTCTACAGAGTTCGGCCAGAAGGTAAAGATGGGCCTGTTAGAGTGGTCCACCGTAATCGCCTGCGCATATGTACTTTCTTGCCTTCCGTCAATGATAAAACAGGAGGTGGCGCCTTAGAACCAGGAACGGCAGCTGCGCATGATATAGCGACAGCCTCAGACCAGTGGTTACTTCTATGGAGTATGGCACAGCAGATGCCAGGGCCAGGTCACTATCCATCCTCCAACAAGTCCGCCCCTGCAACTCAGGAGGGTTTAAGGAGATCTGCCCGTGAAAATCTCGGGAAGCCCCCACCTCGATATACTTAGTAGAGTGCCCGAGGACGGGCTAGGAAAAAGTTGGGGTGGGTGTTACGGAGTATAGCATGGTGGGAAAGGACGGAGAGAAACACCCCCCTAAGTTTTGTTGGTTTTGTTTTTGAGTTTGTTTTGGATTAATTGCATGTTTTTGTGTTTATTTACGGTTGTTGCACCTGTGTGGGAGGGGAGATTTTACTCTAGCCCAGCTGCCAGTGAGGCGGAGTTGAATACAGGGAGCGGCTGATTGGAGTTCCTCTTTATAAAGGGGAGAGGAAGCAGGAAGTGTTGTTGTTGTTTTTAGTAGGACCTCGGTGAAGCAGGAGAGCCCCGGAGATCCAGGACAAAGTGTGCGCATTTTTAATAGAAAGGATCTTTTTTTTAGCCTGGCCTGGCTTTTGCTTTTAACGAAACGGAGGACGTGGAAAGGAGGACGTATTCCTATGGAGCTGTGAGAGGACGTGCTGGAAAAGAGAGGACGTGCTGGAAAAAAAGGGACGTGTTGGAAAAGAGGAAAACGAGCACTAGACTGGAGACCTCCTGCGCCCCGATAAGAAGAACTGGACCAGCTCGGGGAAGTTTAACTGCCGGGAGGTAATGTGGAGACCCAGCCTCGAACAAAGTTAAAGCCTGAAAAGGTGGGTGGCAAACCTGTTTTAGGGAGCTGCAGGATTGATACGTGTTGGTTGCGTGTTCGTGCAGTGACCCTCTCTCCCCTGTTTGTAACTAGGCGAAGAACTCGGACCGCGGTGGTCTTTGGGCTTTGGATCCCTGGCCGGGGTTGTCTTCAGCCGGTAGTTTGCCTAGAGGAAGAACAAATAAATTTTGTGTAACCCATTGCAGTGTGTGCGTGGTGGTTTGTTGCTGGTCCCTACTAGAATTCCTATTCTTTTTGCACGGAGGCTCTCTTAACAGACCTCCCGTAACATTTGAACAAAGATAAGCAGCAGACACATCTGTGTGTGAGTTGTTCAGGTTCAGTAAGAAGGTAATATGTCTGCAGAATTTGTAATTCTTATGAAGATATTGCTTGTACAATAAATAAAATCCCTTTAACTTCTTCTGGAGAGTGTCTTTATATATTTAGTCATTTTGGGGCGATCCTTTATTTAGTAGTAACTCTAGTCGGGGATATATATCAGAGTTTACTTTCAGATATGAGCATTGTGTTTCCTGTGGATGAATGAATGAATTATTTATTTATGTAATTTTTGAAAGACTGGCTCATGTAAAATCTCTGAAAGTATGACAAAGCTCTCCTGTTACACTTTATGGACACCTGAGCATCACCATGAGGGCCTGTCTTTATTCACTTTATTCACTGAAATCCACTTTTATAATGAATTCACAGTAATCACTGACACCTTCAGAGCATTACATTCATTAAAGACGTCTTCTACACCTACTCTTCCAGACGACCGACACATGCTTCAACCACTGCAGGTTAACCAGCCACTCATCAGTAAAGCAAAAACTAAATGTAAATGTCCTCATGTGGAAAAGACTGAAACACAACTCCCATATATCACTAATGTAACAGATCCATTTAGGGAGAGTGAGAACACTAGGCTGGATGTGCTTTAATGCAGGAACATTCATCATGTCTTCAGTTCAACAAATCATTTACATTGAATATGTGAGCTGGATGGTTACACGACACAATGTGATTGTCAACAATAACTGCAATGAACGCTGGTTTGAGGGCGGAGTCAAGGAGGCCATTTACATGAAAAGGGAAAGACCCTCTCTGAATCAAGGAGGGGGCCTAAGGGTACATCTGTCACCATCTTACAATGCTGTGATTGCAGCCGTTCTCCAACTCTCTGTGAATGGTACTCAGGACCATTGATCAGTGGTTGTTGATCAATGGTCATGAGAATTTGCATAATCATGATTAAGGAACTGACCTCCCAGCCCATTGTTCCTTCAGTCGGCTGGTTTCTCTGACTGAAAACGCTACGTCCAGAAGAACAGAATCAACTTTTGGAGATTTACTTCCCTGATGATTGAGCACGCATCAAGACCTTTTAATCAGGCCAACAAATATCTTGTACTCAATTTTAGCAGCAGCCATTGTGACACTGATGATAAAACTTGTGTAAAAGTGCGAAGCTGTAAAAAAGTAATTATAAAAAAGCGTTTTTGTAGCTGAATGTTACTGGATAGCTGTTTCATCTGTAACACATCAAAATAACCTGCTAAGGTTTAATAGGCTATAAGGAACACACTCACTTCCTGAGCCCTGGGCAATAAGAGACGTTTTGTGTTTTATAATTTATTGATATGTTTGATCCTTTCTGACCTGCGTTAATGAAGCAGTCATTAGAGCACCATGTCCGCTAGAATAGTTCTGTAGTTTGATGCTTGAGTCGTTGCAGACTTGTTGAAACTCCCTCACCCGTCAAAGCAGTGTCTTTGTTATTCGAGTCCAGCAGATGGCAGTGTTTCACTGTCTGACGGCTGTCTGAAGCTTCAGCTGGATTATCCGTTTTCATGTTTGATTAGAGGTTTGTGTGTGTGTGTGGGGGGGTTTTTAGCCACGAGTTGTCCACGATAAAGCATATTGAATGGCCTGTCTAATATTGTTAGAATTCTCCTTTGGGTTAGTTTCATTACTCAATCGGGACATTTATTTGGAAAAAGAAAAAAAGAGGGAAAAAAAGAAAAAAAAAGAAAAGAATTAAAAATAAATAAATCCTCATAGTTTACATTTACAAATATCAATACTGAATGTTACGTCCCTCTGCAGCTTCTAATCGTCTCAGTGTTTTCAGCTGGTGCTAATTGGCCACACCTAGTCAGGTGTGGATAAAAGCATACCTGAGGCAAGCTTCCCGGCAGTGCACTAGTCTTTGCCTTGGTGGCACCAGCCATTTTAGCCAACCTGGTTTTCCATTTTAGGATGAAACCTCTTCTCACCCACACTCTGCTATTCATCTCTGTTTTTATGTTGCGGCTTTTGAGCCGGGTCGTAACATGAGTATAATCACACTGGAAGTACCAGCATCAGGAATGTGGCTTCTTCTTTTTGGATCCATAATATTTAGTCTGGTTAGTTATTGTTACTGTAACCAGTGCAAAATCTGCTCTGATGACGCAACGTTAATGTTTGAGCCCCTGAGCGCTAAAAGAAGTGTTTTGTAAAGTATTAAAACTACCTTTAATGGAAGGAAAAACGGATCACTGCTTCCTATAAGAGTTGGTTTTCTCTGTGTGTGTAGCCACTCTGTGCCTGGTGGACTTGGCTGGCAGTGAGCGAATGGTGAAGAGCCAGTCTCAGGGTGACCGTTTCAAAGAGATGACCGCCATCAACAGCTCACTGTCCAACCTGGGCGTCGTTATCGCCGCTCTGGCCAAAAAGGTCTGCAGCTGCAGTTTCTGTAGTCTTAGATGTCACACCTGCTTTCTTTACATTTACAGTATTAATGATTTTTTTGGCCTTTGTGTTCCAGGAGACTTGCGTAGCTTACAGGAACTCGAAGCTCACGTACCTCCTGCAGGGATGTTTGGGGGGGAAACGGCAAAACGTGAGTTTGTTGACATCACAAATCTTTATAATGACGACACATAAAACTGAAGGAATTTATCCCCAAAAAATATTTAACAGCGTTTGATCTCATCACTTCAGATTGTGACTGTTTATTCTTTGGCACTAATTTTGGATGTCTTTATTTGCAGCTTGATGTTTGTTAACATTGCTCCGGAGCCCGACAGCTTTGGGGAAACTCTGAACTCATTGAGGTTTGCCAGCAAGGTCAGTGCAGTCTTGTTTCCAGTGTTCATTGGACAGAGTACATTAATGATGTCCTTACATCAGCTGTTTATGGTAAACCAAAGCCATACTCCATATCCATTTTAATACCTTGGTGTGTAATTCATACTCACATTTTGTCTGAAGAGTAGGGATGTTCCTGGCGTCTTATTTACTAGTCGACTAATCGAGGGGGAAATAATTAGACTAACCAACTAATGTAAAACTAAGGAACATTCAGATATTGAGTTGATTTTCAGAACTGATTAATAGAAACTGTCAAACTAGACGCAGAGGTATCTTAAACCATTTATCACATTCTGTTAAATACAAATGAAAATGCGTTACTACAAAAGATGTTCTATTAAAATATGACAATCATTTGAGAATCTAAAAGTACGTCCAAGTGTGGCGAGAATGATTCAGGTAATGCATTATACAGCCGTTTTCTAGTCAGGTTGTGGGGGCAGCAGGAAGGACTACTCCTGACCACAGCTGATAGATGTAAACTGGCTAGCATGACCAAGGATGCTGGGGCCTCCTACTGGTAGGACGTGCCCAGCTGGAACAGCCTCCTGGCCAAGGTGGCTGTCACCTTTTGATGTGAAGGAGTAGTGACTCTACTCTGAGCCCCTCCCCCATTGACTTAACTGCTCTCCTAAAGGAGAGGTTTTCCACCTCTCAGGAAACTAATTTCCTCTGCGTGTATCTGCGATCTCAGTGTTAACAAGAAGATCAGGGTAGATTAATAGATTTATGGTGTTTCTCAACAACAGTGCACCATCTGGTGGTAGATCGCTGCCTAACATTTAGAACACAATGTACCAGCATTGGGCATCAATTAAAATGTTAACAATTAGATTGAACGACTGGTAAGTCTGATACAGACTAGTGACAATTAGTCGACTAGTCACATAAATCCCTGATAGAGCCCACAGAAGTGGCCTGCACCATGTGCGTGGCTTGCTTTGCAGTTTAACCCTCAGTAGGACCTACAGCCATTTTTCATCCCCAGCGTTTTTTAATATTAGGCCATTTTCACTGTGTTGAATAGAATATAGCCAAACCTTCCGACCCTTTTTTTTTCTTTTTTCTTTAGAATTGCAGTCTCCGTTTATTAGATTAGCTTAAAGTGGCTAAGCTACAAACCGCCATCCACATGAGGTCCTAGAGCCATAAATCGCCCCATTGAAACCCATTATAAACGCTATTTTTCACTGCAGAATTATTACCATTAACGTATGGGTGATGGCTTCTGTTTCGGTTCCGTGTTGGACAAGGGGCCTTAGAATTGTAATTTTTTTTATTTGGCCACCGGGTGGCGCCCTTGTTCCACATGTGACGCCTGCTGGAACATAGACCTTTTCCAGCGGGCTGCTCGAGACATACACCCGGGAAAGGCAGACTCATTCCCCGAGTGCAGCAGCAGCTTGGCCCGCTGCTCGTTCGGGACCATTTTCTGCCCTTAGGGCTGTTAGAGGGTGCATTTTGACCTTTATATTTAAAAATAAATAAAATAAAGGTCTCTCTGCCTAAAAGAAAAAAAATTTGTCTCATTCTAAGTTTAGATAAAAGCCTTCCCTCTTTGAAGTACACCCTGCAATGCAAACAAATCTAACATGAAAACAAGAATAAAAAACAAATTAGACTTTATTTTGTCGCCAACCTCAGCTTGTTTATGCAGGTGCAGGCAGGAGAGGTTATAAGAATAAGCCGTAGCGCGGGAGTAGGCATTTTCACGATGGCACGGTACCGAGGAAGTAGTGGACATCCTGATGCGCTCTGACAGCGAGGATCTCTCCTCTTCATCTGCCGAGAGTGACTCTGATTCCGGGGGTGACACGGATGATTCGTCTCTCGACACTGATCACCAGGAGTCGTCCTCTGATTTTTCTTCTGAAGATGAGAACGAGGGGAGGACGCCGGAGGAAGCAGCGGCGTGGACCTCCAAAGATGGGAAGAAATGGTCCGCAACAAACGCCGAGACGCTGCGCTACGTCGCAGCACCCACGGGGCTTATTCCGGGACCGACCCACTACGCCGTAGCCCGAATTACGGACCCACTCTCCAGCTTCAGGTTGTACATAACTGATGGGATTATACAGCATATAGTTGCAATGACAAACCTTCAGGGCAGACGCTACATCTCATTCTGGAGAGATTTAGATAGCAACGAAATGCTCGCTTATGTGGGGCTGCTAATTTTGTCCGGTGTATACCGGTCAAAGCACGAGGCCATCGCCAGCCTTTGGAGTGAGAAAACGGGAAGGAAGATTTTCCGTGCCTCAGTGGCTGAGAAAAGATTTTGTCACATAACCAGAGCGCTCCGATTTGATGACAAACTCACCCGACCTGCACGACGTGCGGACAAATTGGCTCCCATTCGGCAGATATGGGACATGTGGGCACACCGCCTGGGGATGTTGTTTAGTCCAGACCGGGACCTTACGGTGGATGAGCAGCTGGTACCGTTCAAGGGAAGGTGCAGTTTCCGCCAGTATATCCCCAAAAAGCTTGCGAAATGCGGCATAAAGGTCTGGGCAGCATGCGATGTCAAGACATCATACGCCTGGCGGCTGCAGGTTTACACCGGGAGAGCAGCGGGCGAACCGGCCGAGGTAAACCAGGGGATGAGGGTCGTCCAGCAGATGACTGACGGGCTCCATGGGCATGTCGTCACAGTCGACAATTTTTTTTCACCTCATCTGAACTGGCAGAGGAACTCCTCAAAAATAAAATGGCTCTGGTCGGCACAATCCGCCAGAACAAAAAAGGAATCCCACCCGTTTTGCGCCAGATGAGAGGGAGAGCCGTCTACTCCTCGATCTTTGCCTTTTCAGCGAAACAGACCCTAGTGTCGTACATTCCCCGACGGGGCAGGAATGTGCTTTTATTGAGCACGAAACATCGCAGGCCGGAGGTCAGCGATGACGAGAGAAAAAAGCCAGCGATCATCACAGACTACAATCGATGCAAAGGAGGTGTCGACAACCTTGATAAGGTGGATGTCATTACGCATTTGTTACGCACACCTTTATTCATTTTTCTTCATATATTCTTGTGTAAAATATACAGAGGTTTTATGTTGTTGTTTTTATTTGTTATGTTTATTTTTTGTTAGGTTGTCGGCACCTACTCCTGCAGGAGACGGACCAATCGATGGCCAATGGCCCTTTTTCATCACATCATAGACGTCTCCCTCTACAACGCCTTCATGCTGTGGACCTCCGTGGATCAGGCCTGGCATCAGCAGAAGCCACACAGGAGGAGGATGTTCATTGAAGAGGTGGGAGAAGGCCTGATCACGCCCCATTTGTCACAAAGACAGCGTCTTCCCCGCTCATCAGCCGCTGCTGAGTTAGTAAGAGATGCGCAGGATGGTGCTGCTGCAGGCCCCTCTGGAGTGACAAATCCCAAGGGCAGGAAGCTCTGTGAGCTCTGTGTTGGGAAAAGGAGGCGAGTGGGAAACACATGCAGCAAATGTGGAAAATTCAGCTGCCGAGCCCACAGCAAATTTGTCTGCAGCCACTGCTCTACCTGAGCAAGACATTTACCCCCCAGCCACACACACGCCCCCCACCCTCTCACTGCTTTCTCACTTTCTCACACTCTCTTTCTCTCTCATACATTTCCCCATTCCCAACAACAATATACATAATTACATTTACCATATACATGTTCTTGTTCATTGTTGAAAAATAAATGTTTATTTGGTTCAAACTGATCTTGTATTTTTATTTACATAATGCTTTTTATTTGATTTTAGATGGCAACAAGGTAATATGCATTTATTGGGGCAAGAGTGAAAAACGTTCTCCTGCAAAAAAAAACTAACGGCCGATCAAAATGAAGGTCAGTAGTAATTTTTAGACCATCCAAAGGCCTAATTAAAAGTACAATAAAATATAACTTTCAAATGTATTTTATGGAAAATATTTAATTTTTTCATTTTTTTTGCCAAAAAAGGCAGTGTGCTCATGTGACAAAACCGGGATATAAAAGGTTAAAATCGCGAAATATAATTAAAACTTTATATGAATATTTCAAGGAGAAGTAGGTCTAAAATATTGGCTAATTTAAAGTGGAAAAATATTAATGTATAATCTTTTTAGAGCACTTTTTATGGCGTGGTCGATTTTTGGCTCTAGGTCTTCATAAGGGGTACTTTTTTTTTTTTTTTTTTTTTTTTTTAGGACTTACCAAGGGTTAACCACCAAAACACTCGTCTGCAGTGGAATTTCTTTGAGCTAATCGATTCATTTCATCTTCTAATTAATGTGGAAAATGGTGGCAAAGGTGGATGAAATGAGTGATTCCTAGAGTTACATTTTATTGCCTTTTTTCTTTCCTTTTCTTAAAGTTATGAAGGCATCTTGGATGCCATTTCAGTGAGTGGGGGTTAATGCCCCACACTCTTTTCTGTCACTGCTTTGAATGCACAGACTGGTCTTAATGTTGATCTTTGTGATCTTCAGTGTTACGACCCGGCTCAAAAGCCGCAACATAAAAACAGAGATGAATAGCAGAGTGTGGGTGAGAAGAGGTTTCATCCTAAAATGGAAAACCAGCTCGGCTCAAATGTTCTGTGAGTCATAGGAGTCTACTAACATTTCCATGATAGAACAAGGCTGCAACCTTTGTACACTATATAAGGCAAAGAACTAATTAGCCTCATTTTGTTTTCATTCTGAGGCTTGTTTTTTTTAGCACATGCAAACAACTCTTCTTATGAGAATATTAGGACGCGTCTTGTATATATGATCGGCTCGCACATGGCCCGAAGATTGGTTTACCTTCTGCCATGTTGAGGCCAAAAACCCTGAGGACAGAAAAAAACAAAAAAAACCAAATGGTAGGTTGTCTCTGTGTGAGAGACGTTGGCATTATACCCGATATTTTTTTAAAAATGCAATGTGTGGATTTCTTTTACAGACAACATCTGCCATGTTGTGGACCGCTCAGAGTCTCCCCCTCCAGCACTGCTAATCCAGATGTTGGATCTGTGTTTCCACAAGCCCCGCGAATTCTAGAGACTTATTCATCATGAAGAAAACAAGACAGTCGATCGATCGATTATTTGCGCAAGGGAGGCCACCATGAAAATGACCTCTAGATCCTCCTCCTCCTGCTGCCTTTATTGAGAGACCGTTCACACAAAACACGTCAGAACAAAGCCACGCCCAGACAAGGCATTGTATGTGTGTGTGTGTGTGTGTGTGTGTGTGTGTGTGTGTGTGTGTGTGTCACAGACCTCCTGCTGACCAAAGGGTCATAAACGCAGGAAGGTTACATCAAAAGAAGCACAAGGATGTGTCTGTGATAAAAGACTACAGCCCCCCACCTTGATCCTCGAGAATCTGGGGGGAAGGACAGTGGAATTTCTT